CACACACACACACACACACACACACACACACACACACACACACACACACACACACACACACACACACACACACACACACACAGGTAAGGACATTAACATGGGTAGTGCTGCAAGAGTGGTTTTATCTCATGCATATTATACATGATTGTAATTTTCATAGCATGTCCAATCTATTAATCAAATCTGATCTAATAACATCTAAGATATTAAATACCATAAATTATAAACAATGGTACTATAATGTGAGGAAAGGGACAGCTGAAAAAGTAGAGGCCTGGCCTGAGGTGCAGACAGACCTCACTCTTTAGTTTGGAAACTGTCCACTAAATGTGTGTATATTTATTTTCTTTTTACTAATTTAACCTGGTGGTTACGGTAAATCTATATTCTGATGATCCATTTTCTAAGTCTGATCTAAAGTGTTTGTGACTTAAGAACAGGTGAAAAAATCAGTTTTTACGGGGTTAATACTAAATTCCGTAATTTGTTTTTTATCTGTGAAAACAGGTGAAAAAAAAAGTTTTTTCGTTGAAATACCCATTTCGGCCACAAGAGGCTGAAGTGCAACACTACCCAATGTTCTAAATAGTACAAAAAGCATTAATGTCTTCCTCCAGGAGAGTTTAATTTCTCCATGCATTCCAAACACAGGGTACATACATTGTGTGTTAGCAAGTTATGCAATGAATTCATCTTAAAACTATTTTTTGGAAGTAGATGTGGAGACCATCATTTACACCTTACCTGGAAAGCATGACTGGCAAAGCCCAAGCCGAGCTGTCTGCACACGACCATGGCCTCCATAGTCCCCCAGCTGTCACTGCACACTGAGCCCCACACCATAGAGCTGTTCCTCTCTGCCAGAACCTCCACACGGCCCTCAAAGGCATTGCGGCCGCCATTTAACCGGAGCTAAGGACAAAGATAGACAGATGTGTCCTCCAGTTCTATACAAATCCCTATTTTTTTTATAGTATATAGACGTACAGAGAGGTCCTCACTCTTTTGTGGAAGCCCATGGCGGGAACATTACACCTGAGTGCTGCGTCTTCCTCATGGCTGCAGCCCAACGCGTCACCGTTGAAGTAGCACTCAGTCAGTGACTTCTCAAAGCCAGAGCACTCCACCTCGTTCATGTGGACCATCCCGATTCCTACGGAGAAACAAACACATAAATCCTGTTTAACTGTCATTCTGTTGAACTTGTGATTAAACTCAGGATCACAAAAAATTGGAAAAACAGCTGGAGCATTAGCATCATGTACATTAGGGAAAAGTATTTTGAAGAACTGATCTTTGGGTTACACAATTATTTTTGGAAACACAAGCCTGTGTTGCCCACTATTCCTGAATAAAACAGCATTCGCCTCGCTGCTTGTGGGTTTTCATAGAACAACAAGTCCATCTAAAGACAGATGCTAAGATTTCCTGTTCCCTTGAAATTAAATGTGACAGGAAACAGTCAGCTATGGCTAATGAAAATGAGACACTTGAGGCATTTGAAAAAGAAAGATTCTCTCTCTGCTTCTTTAAAAAGATAAGTCATCTTAGTTTCCATAATAACATGTGTGAGTCCTCCTTCCATGCTGGCTTTCTTCCCATGTGACTGAGCAGGAATGTCTCTAGTGATGCGAGCTACAGCCAGAGACTGCGATGGACGAGCAGCCAGTGGAGAAAAATAAATTCACAACAGGAAGAACACAGTGCTGCTGTAATCAGTCAGTCAGTTCTCAGGTCTGACTGATGATTAAAATAGATTGGATGTTTATAACTTCACAAATGCAACACACAAAAAAATGCATATGAGCTTGTACCCTTTATCAGCTGAAAATTTGTGCAAAGTATAAAAAAGGATTTTCATAGAAATACATAGATTGTATAAGAACTAAGCCTAAAAACTAATCTCCCATACGAATCTGGGAATCACTTACAAGTACAACTTCAGTTTTATTGACATTCTTCTTTAGTTCACTTCAGTGACTTCTGAAAACAAATACAATAAGCTATTTCAAATCTATGGTCTGTATCTGGCACCCTTTTTGGATCCAGTTGTCAGCTCATGAAGAAAATCCATCCCTCAAATAACCTTGTGCACTCTCCAACAAAGAATTCCTCCTCTGAAACCCATAAAGGCTGTTTTTCTTGCTGGAACATTTTGTGCGCTCTTGTGTTTTGGTGTGAGAATAAGGCAGAGGAGAGGACAGCTAATCCAGTGCACATGTGATTCTTATAAGGCTGTGGTATATTGCATTTCGCAGATTCAGGTTATGAGCATTAATGTGCTACTACATACATTCCCAAATGTACTTATATGCTGACTGAAGGTCTGGGCTGATTGAAGTGAGACGAAAACAGGTGGTGGTACAGAGGCCAAAGATAAGGTGCTGATTGGAGTCTCTGGTTTCAGCCCAAACCTTTCATTTTCACAGCTGGGAATGAGTTGCTTAAAGTTCTGCCGGGACTTTGAAATGTCATCAAAGCTAAAAGCCTGCAAGAAGTTGAGTTCAACTGTTACAGTCTACCTGTATGAGTGAGAGTTGTGACTGCGGCCTATATGTATCAGTGTCTATCTATCAGTGTATGGAGTCGCCACCAGAATAATTACATGATTTATTCTAAACCCCTTACATAACTGGATATTTGAGGCCATATTTCAAAAAACTGCGAACAATATACCAGCTGCTTTTTTTAAATTAAGATTTTCTTTTTATAGGATCCTTTCAATTTGGATATTTAAGAATTAAGACCAATGTATGCTCTGAACTATGAAATGGAAAAACACTTTCTGAATCACCCCAATTGTGGGCCAGACAATTGATCATGCTAGCATGATTTTTCTGCTAAATCTACCATTTTTTATGAAAAACAAAAAAGAAAGAAAGAAAAACAATTCAATATTTATTTTAATTAATGAAGGGGGTGTTCAGGCTGAAACAGGTGTTAAGTTGCTCTCTAATTATAATCAAAATATAAGTTGATACATAAAAGAAAATTATAAATTCATTAATTACATTTGGATTTAAAAGATGATTTGATCCTAAAAATATATTCTTTTAATTTTACTTTTTTTTACTCTTTTTTGGGGTGTTTTTTTCCTTCTATTTCATTCTGGCACACACCTTTTATACAAACATACCGCCATTTACAATCGTACTATATGTTATAGTACAATAATAATAATATTAGTGACTAATCTGTAGATCATACCTTGTCCAAGTCGGGCGCCAGTCAAGGCCTCTTTGGCACTACCGAAGCCCAGCTCTCGACACACCACGGAGGCAGCTCGAATGTTCCAGTTGTCGTCACACACTGTACCCCACTCCCCATTCTTCAACACCTCCACTCGCCCCTCGCCAATCATAGCTCCGCCTCTTAGACGCACCAAGGGTTGCTGCGGAAACAGTTCACCAAAAACTAAAATTAATGAAAATGCCGACAATGAGAACAGTCTTGTACATTGTTACTACCAAAAACCGCAGAACTTGATGAAATCTGAATTAACTACATAGTAAGTCAACTCTTTAAATTTGGACATAATTGCAACGTGCAGCAACAAGTGACTAGCTAGACGGCTGTCTTTAACAATTACCATTAAAAATGTAAAAAATCCTTAATCAGTCATATCCTGAAATATGATTTTCTCAATATCAAAACACAAGCAGAAAGCAGGCTCACTATGCTGCACACGTTGCATATACCTGCATGTTGAAAGGATACAAATAATACTCTTGGTTTTATTTGGTCGATGTAGGATTACCATAGTCCCTTGTTTTGCAGGGTAGATAGAAAATAGGTGTTTCCTTGGTAATAATGTATAAACTATAAACACCACACGGGAACACTGATTATCTAATTGTACAAACAACAGATGTTTAGCGTTCGTCCTCTCAAATGTTTCCAGCTGCTTGACTACAGGGCCACTTGATTAATAAGTAGAAAATGTTGAAATCCAGTGCAGGACTCTGATGAAGAATTGATTATTGGATAGTATAACATGTGCTCACCCAACTCTGTACTTATACAAAAAAACGTTTGTGGTTCTTATAATGTAATGTAACGCAGCAACATATCTGGAGAGCATACATTTAGAATCAGACATTCAAATTAGCACTAGAACACCACATGCATGTTTTTCTTTTGAGTTAATTGAAGAGTCTAATTCAGACGAAATCAGATTATTAAAGATATGTCACAAACATCTGTAGAGACTAGTTTCACATCTGCAGACTGTGAAACCGATCTCAGCCATATGGTACCATAACCTGACTTACTGAAGTGACAGGGAGTCTGATATCTTTCCGTTTATAGTTCTCCTCCCACAAGGGAAGACTCCGGGGATTACTCTCAACAGAATACATACTGTTCTGATTTAAAACCCTTTTTTTCCCACACATCTGATTGTGATCAGTTGCAAAATCACCAAAATCCAATACAATTGTTGACCTTAACTGCCCTCCTTTGCATGACATGCTGCCTGCATTGACAGTAATGTATCTATAAATAATTTATTATAAACACACTCAATGACATGTATTCTAGTTCCTTTCTGTCTCATAATGTCAGTATACATTGTTGTAATAAGTAAGGAAGTTATCTGTCCTTTCTCAAATGCCACAGAGACCGATTCATCACACGTTTACTGTACCTATTTAAAACGACCAATAACTCTAATAAAGCTTGCACATGGCCACGGAAACAAGATCCCTGTTTGTCAACTTCAACACTGAAATCACACGCAAACACCACTCAGAAAGGACGAAAGCTGAGTTTCAAACCCAGAACGTTCTTCCAATGAAGCGACAGAGCTAACATTCTGAAGCGTGGCACAATCTGACCTACCTCAACGCGGTAGGCCTTCCTGTAGCCGGCACTGACGCTGGGAGCAAAGGCACGTCCAGGCACACAGCTGACCACTACAGGCATGCCCTCCTCACAGGTGCTGTTTCCCTTCAACTGTATCTCTCTGCCCATCTTACAATCTGTCAGGTCGGCCTCGTTGCCTGTGCAGTTTACAGAGAAACCCCAGTAGTTCTTCTTACGACGCTTGGCCAGCAATCTGAGAAGGAATGACACAGTTACAAAATATACTGTATGCTTTTTCCTGTTGATTTGTATATGTCTACATTACTGCAAACATATTAGAAAGCGTGTCATCATTTCCAACCTTTCGGGTACCCTTGGCTATCAGTTCATGCCAAAAGCAGACTTGAAACCTGATTCAGACGTTAATCCCTCACAGCAAACACATCGGCAGTCTTTTTTGCTATTTTACGTTATGTCATCGCAGCATCGTAATGCTGTTACACGGATTGTTTTGAAAAGTTGGTCGCTTGGTTTGATCAAGTGCTGGTGAGAGGTTCTGACATCAACCACTTAATAATAATAAGGTGCTGAGCCACGTTCCAGTCTCAAGATTCAGATGTTAAGAGATTTTCCACGAGTAAATCACAGCAAAGAAGAGCTTTCAAATTAGTTATAAATAATAAAATTGCAGCCAGGTTTTTTGAAGCACCATCTGCATCACATGAAATATTTTACTATTCTTTCTCACATTTCACAAAAATATTAAGGAGCTGTTTTATGGGAAGTGGAAATTTTAGTTATTTATTGTGAGGAGCTGAACAACAACCGTACAACGCTGTGTAGCTCAATGGGGGGGTATTGTTGTGAGAGTACCTTAACACTCTCATGACCTCCATACTTCAACTAAGGGTCACTGAGGAGCCCAACAACAGTGGACCTTGAAGCAGGTTCGGGTCGTGGAAGAAGCAGACCATTTAATCAAAGCAGCATGAGCTTCATTCACAGCCTTTTGGTTCTTACAGCTTGTCCAGATGCTGTCAACAGAATGTAGCTCTACCTCGGTTTGAACAATTTGTGGTCTGTGGAATTTGAAGAGACGCTATTTGATTGAGAGTTTCTAATTTTGTTGGGCTGTTATTTGCATGTTTGGTGAACAGAGCTGTCCTTTGTTGTTCCAGATAAAAAACAGAGTGAATGTGATCTTTCACCTCTGTAAAACAGTGAACCATGTGAGACCACACACTCTAAAACCCACACAGGCTTTGTGATCTTAAGAGATAAAGAAAAAACAAAGAGCTCCTTGCTGGTTTAGTGTGCTTTATATGGTGCTTCCTTCAGTTAAAAGGCATTCATATTTAAGATTAGCGTCAAATCAGATAAGATCGTGTCTACCAACACCATCAAAATAGAAATTGTTTTAATAAAAGTCCTCTGCTTAGCCTTCCTCTTACTTTATTATAACCAGAAGCATCAATTTGAACATCAAGGTGAAAACTTGACTACATTACATGGGATCATTCCGATGACTCTCCACATTTGTAAATAAATGCATGTCTGATGTCTCTCTGGTCTTAATTTGTCTGTGGTGGGACAGTGGAGCCTTTCAGATGATTGTGGAGACCAACTCTAACTGTATGTCCATAATGAATAGATTCGACTTACAGATGAAAACATAAACCGATGCACACATAAAGTTCACTCAAGACCAAACAAATCGAGATATGTTCTCATTAGAAGGCAGGTAGCCAGAAACGTTTGAATATTAGATTTATACCTCAGGCGGAGCTGTAAAAGAGACAAACACGGTGTTCTCATTCATGCAGTTACAAGAGCAGAAGAGTTGCTCGTGGTTATTGTGCCGTAAACATCTGTTTTCTTTTGAGCTTCAGTTGCCATGTTAGCAGATAAAATATATTATAAGACACAAAGTGTGAATAGCTGGTTTTGTGTAGGGCTACATATTGACGTTTTGCTCAGAGGGAAACAATTAAATGCAGCCAAAAGAGCCACTGTTTCACAGCGTATCGCACTCAAAGGTTTCCCAGCACGGCTCATCCTTCATCCTCTAAAACTTCCTCCGGCAGTGTTTGGCTTCTTGTCAAGAATCTCCAGACTGAAGTCTGTTTAATCTCAGTGTGCGGATGAAGGGTTGAGTGATGACCAGTTTAAACAAGCGTGGTTATGTAACATTTCTTAACATCAGTTTGCTATGATAAAACATTCCTAAATAGACTAACAATATAAATCAACAGCACCAGGAAATGCAATATTCTTAACATTACAAGTGTTTGGAACAAACAGGAATTTGTCTTTGTCGCAGGTGTGGATTATATATGTAGCACTACTATATTCCCATAACCAAAACCGTAATTAACTCAACTAAAAGCTAAATGTTCGTGTTAGACTTCAACTCCTGTAAAGACTTTCATCATATTAATCGGCCCTATTTAAACCTTGCTGCTGGCCTCTGGCACCATTACTTACTTATAAGGTCGGGTGTTGACGCGTTTCTCCCCGGGGAAGCCGTACATGCCACAGATGACTCTGCTGTTCTTCTCAGTCCACTCCTCGTTACAGATCTGTCTCCACTTGCCTCCGTCTTTCACCTCCAAAAAGCCCTCCGTGATGGGAATCCTTTTCCTCTGAGAGTAAGTGGCCCTGAGCCTCACATCCTCCACCTGCACCGACAAACCCTGAGAAACAGCCGAGGAAATGGGTCATCACTGCATGCTATATTACCGGTAATATACAACTAGTTTGACCTTTTTAAGGAGACAACTGTGCTGAACATAGAATAATAAGATTTTTTTTTTTACTTTACCTTCTTTGCCTATCAAATTGAGCATTTAATAACATAGCAAATTTCTCTGCAGCAGGATTATCTTCTCTTAAAATGTTTCAAATAGAAATGTGTTTCTGTTATCACTATGAAACAGGAGTGAAGCATTAAGGGTGACAATTTTAGGATAGAAATAGTTCTAATGGCATCTAAGAGAACAAATGGTTGTAAGCAGACTGCTTAGTTGTTGTTACGATTAAGAGGGGGTCCTTGGAAAATGTTCTCTCCTGTAAAAACCCCTGATTCAGAGGACAGACAGTTTTATCTGTCCTCTGGACTTTGCATGTACTGTTCCACTTGATATTTTGTGAATACAATATGGGTTATGAGTCATAAAGGAAGAATGCATTGTGAGGGAATGCAAACATGGTTCAGAGAAAAAGAAAGGACTGCCCGGTTTGCACATATGCTTGTCAAGTTGAAAAATCTAAAGATGAAATCTTTGTTTAAACCTGTTAAGTGTTGCCGAGAGGCCTAAGCAGATTGGATGAATGTATGGAATTTTTTTACTGTCTTTGTACTCCCAAAGGGAGTTGGAGGGCAACATACATCAAATATGACAGCACAGATCTGACAAAAACAGTTAACAGTGTTTTTCTTTCCTCAGAAAATCAACAACCGTAAAGCCGTAAATTACATATATATGCTGAAAACTCACTGGATATTCACTGAAGTGAAATATATCCTTGTGAGTGAGCCAAGAACCTGAAATGAACCGAGCACAAAAGGAAAAACACTGCTCTTTTCTCTGCGGGGAAATGTGGAAGAAATCTAGCCAGATTTCTCTTCATAGACTTCTCACAGAGCATTTTGGATTTCCTGGGCGATCAGGAAACAGAGAGCAATGATAGGAGAAGTTAAAACAGAAAAACTTATTCCATGAAATTCTTATCAGGATTTTAAAGAGAGGCTAAAGACAGAAGCTATACTGACAGAGTTCAGGTTGGGCCACAGTCAAAAGGACTGTAAAGCCTGTTGGTCAGACAGGAGTCACCCAACTCAGTTAGTATCATGTATCCTAAAGACCCCTTAATCAGGAAGGAATGGTAACCTTTGACCTCCAGGGTTTCATGAGAAAACAGCTACCCTAAAACTCTGCCATTGTTCATTTCCCTCCTTCTGCCAAGTTCTGCAGTTGGTTCCTGGCTGGGTGTGAGGTTGCACTGTGCATGTGAAAAAGAGCCAAAACTCTGAGCTGCTCAGTGGTATGCAAATGCTGACCTCAGTCATTTCGTAATGGCCCGCTTATTTAACTCTGCAAAAAATACCTAACATCCAGGCATGTCTCCCAGAAATATCAAATGTTTGCCCGCAGGGTGGTTTCCTGAGATGGCGTCAGCCTGGGGGAATGTTCAAGGCTTCAGGGAATCTAGACGCTGAAGACTGGAAATGCAGGAGGAGCCACGGCTCAGTCAGACTGTTTCTACAGTGACCCCAGTCCTCCCACTGACCGCAGTCGCTAGAGCGGGTAAAAACCACTCTTTCATGAAGAGATTCCTGGTGGCCATAGCATGACAGTGTTTTCCGTCGGTGCCTGGCAGTATGGGAGGGTGAGGAGACGTGATCTTAATCAGGGATCCGGTGTTCTCAATTTAAAACCTTAAAAAAGCAAGACGAGGTAGAGATCATTCCTTATGGTATAAAAAACAACAACCATGAATCTATATTAAAACATGCAGCAAAATAAAAGACAAAGAAAAAAAAAACAAAACCATACTCATGAATGGCTAACTGAAGTACACCTGATACAGAACATGGAATGAAACGCAAAATGTGAGTAATCAAAGTGTCGCCAGGTGTGAAGACAAAAATACCAGACAGGACAGGGGGTACGAGGTGAGTATGAAATGGGGCACTGAGATGGCCAGTGTTGCATTTGGCACAGAGAGAGGAAACCGGCCGTCTGAACGTGTGAGACTAAAGAGAAGAGGACGGATATCCACAGCTGGGATCAGTCCAGGCATTTATCCCCCAAAACCAGACCACCAGACATAAACTCAGCATAATCCTGTTTGGCTGGGGCCCATATCTACACACTGTTTTTTTTGTGGAAAAACTCAGCGAAATAACTATACATCACAAAGAACATGCCATAATATCAATGTGGAAATCTGGACTTGTCTGAAATACATGAAAAGATCTTCAGATTTTAGACAAAATCTGCCGAACTAGCACCTCTAAAGTTCACAAGTGTACTAATTGACACATGATTTGGTCAATCTGCAGGTCATACTGAGGTTAATTGTCAACTGGACATTGCTATGAAGTTGTCTCATCTTACAGTCACTCCCTGGCTGTGTGTACTGTAGTGTGTGGGCCGTTTGCAAAAGTACTCATTTCCTGTTCTAAGCAAACATTCATAAATCGCCAATATTTAGTTAAGTGAAATCTGTAGACCTGGTTAGCTGGACTTGACTATAGCATGTCTGTCTGTGTCGGAAATATTGAATTAAAAATAATTCTTGGCCTTGTTTGTAGGTGGTGAGTTACCAAAAAAAGGATTTTTTTTTAAAAGTTATTTTCATTACTAGTCGGTGAGGTAAGCTTTGACCATTACTGAACTCTTTCCAAATGGAGAGTAGACTTGTTTTTCTCACTGGGTCTCCCTCAGTATGTAGATGTGTGAACATGAGACTGTGGTCTAGCCAGTGTCTGACTAATTCTTCCACTACTGTGCATTTCTTCCACTTTATTCAGTCCTCCAGCCCCGCTGCACGTTTATCTACACGTGCCTCCAGACACCAGCACACCCACCCAACCCCCTCCCCACCTTACGAAACAAGTATGCATGATAATCACTCCACAGTTTAGATGAGAAGCAGGAGAACAGCAAGGCTCTTTCAAATGACTTTCACATCTGCCCCACCCCACTCTCTGCCTCACTGGCCCAAAGAGTGCCTGACTGACTTGAATAAGGAAGTGTGTGTGTATGTGTGTGTGTGTGTGTAACTGTGTGCTTTGCATCTGGAATATCTATCAGTGAGCATATTTCATAACTGAAATCTTGAGACCTGGATTAGCTGGACAACAGCATCTCTGGCTGTGATGGAAATGTTCTAGTTTTTATGGTAAGCTAAACGTCTCCTGGGTGTAGCTTGGCTTAAATGGTAGCAATCTATTCAACTTCCAAAAAAATCTAACTTTGTATCGAAATGCTGAAACATCACTGTACACGTATGCTGGGGCTTTAATTTATGCTACTTCAATAAAAAGAAAAAGTTTGAAGTCTGAATGGTATATGGTAAATCATTAATGCAGGTTTGAATAATAAAGGTCTCTCTGGGCACTCTGCAGCCCATAGGAGATCTACTATAAAGCCACAGGGGGATCCAGCTGTTGAACATGTGGTCTATTTGTCTGCTACTCGATCCACAAGAGGAGCTGACTTCAGCACACACATCAACCTTTTCTCCCCTTGATCACTCTCCTCCTCACAAGCCTCTCGCTCATGTTGGAGGCAAATCCAGCTTTGGCTCGGGTTTCCTTTTGTTGTATAGCAGCGAATGTGAGGAACTGGAATTCCTTTGAGTGGATATCGTCACGCCTGATGAAGAAGAGCAACCTTTGCCCTGTTCGGATGTGCAACCAATCAAAAGGCTTTTAACCGCCGCATTCTGTTATTACAACTGGTCTCTGACGTCTTTGTGTTGATTCTGGAACCAAGTGTTTGGTTGTAGTGAAAACACTAAGTGGTGTGGTGGGCAACTGCAGCTGCATGCGGTGCTGATTCTTTTCTCAACCCTTCAGGAAGAAGATTAACTAACCTAGACTTGTAATCTGTTTATAATGATGTGCAAGGTTCTGCAAGCAGAAGTGTGTGATTCAACTGAAGATTGCTTATTTTCTCTACCATTGGATTGTGAAAAATCTCGAAATCACGAATAAGAGTGTTTCAAGCTTACCGAAGCGACAGTGGAAATGTCTCTTCTGCAGGGGACAATGTGATGTAAACTTTTTGGAAAGCACACACAGAAAAAAACATCCTGGAAAATCCTATCAAATTCAACCATGAACTTATAATTATGCTTAAATGACACATCATCCTCTCTCACAAACATCGAACATATACAGACGGAAATTTCAGGCATCTTGTAATGAAGAAGACGTATTCAGCAAAGATCCTGTAGACACTGATGACACGTGCAGCGCACCATTCACACGTGAACAACAACCGGAGCTGGCAGAGTTGGTTAAAAATTCCCCACTAACAGATGATAAACAAAGCCTCCTGCCATCTAAATGTTTGGTTTTGATGACAAATGTATTCAACCTGCTGCTGACTGAAAGACCAAAGCAACACAGGCTGATAAATAAAGCAACTGTGCCTGGTTAGACAGTCAAAGTAAAAAAGGGATGGTTGCAATGGTCATCGGGATTCGATGCTACATGTTAAAATAAATCAATGATTCAGTCAGCAAGGAATATATGTCCTGTTGTGTTATCAGTGTTGCATAACTAGCTGACAAAGGCTGCAATGGTAAGAGACTTTGCTTTTGTCTCCAGCAGATAGCAGACGACATTAAAGACTGACATTACTCAGATGTTAAATGACAACTCTGACAAGAGCTTGGGCTGACAAAGAAAGACACACGTAGATTAGTTTTTAGCAAAATATGACACGTTTTAACTTGATATTTTGTAAATGCTAATTGCCTTCATAGTATTTCTGCTCATAGGGTACCACATCTCCAATTGCAACTCATGCCAGTGGAAGCGGCTGTTTTCATTAATGACAGACTGATATTTTCGGGATGCTATTATTTGTGTTCCAAGCTGAACTTGCCAGAGCGAACTTATCTTCACATATTCCCATAAAGTGTAAAGTAGCCTCATTATGTATCTCTCATAACAACAAAATCATTTCAGTTTGAAGCACCTTTGTGTAGCTTTATTCTGACTTCTCAAGAACAAATTGCTGGTAAATTCAAATTCCAAATCTTTACTGAAATCATGTCAACATGAACAGACACTAAAAGTTAAGAGAGTGCAGACAATGCCTTGATAAACTACACTATCTCACATATACACATATCTCAGACATATAAAGATGTGTCATCTTGAAAGTTGGAAAGCATTCACATTGAAGCAAAACTGTCAAATTTCTCCATCCTTTTAGCCGGGACCTCTACATGGACTGCAGCGCATGCTTGGTCAGGGTGTTAACTTTCCAGATTGAGCACAGAATGTCAATTCATGCTGTGAATAAACAGATTGAGGGAACAGTTCTGCCCATTGCTGACGTCAGCTCAAGAATGGTTAAAGAGGTGAAGCTACACCTTTTCCCATTCCTCTCCCCGTGACTTGAAAGGCTACTGCCAGACCGAGGAAATATTTGCATGGTGGGGGGACTGAAATACACCCCGAGACCCAAAATACACAAGACAAACAGGGAACAAGAGGGTGCCGCTTACATACACTACCTGTAAAAATAAGAAAATTGTGAATAGGGTTCAGTAGTCTGTCTTCTATTCCTCCATTCCCATGACTCAACTAGGCATGAGAAAGATACACAAGCATTTCAGATGATCTCCTCAGGCATGTTGCCTTTACTGAACCCAGTAAAAATCACAGTCACTGTTCTGGCTGCTGGAGAGAGTCTGGTAACGCAGCCAAATCTCCCACCCAACTTCTAGTATGAACACACAATACACTCTGGTATTAATGCAGTTACTATAGTGTTAACGCATCAACTTCTAAGCTGCCAAAAAAAAAAACCTTGCTTCATCTCTATCAGTCTGGTTTTAACAGGGAAACCCTTTGTGGCAATGTCTTTTTAATAACTTGTTCTCAGACAAGCTGAAGTAATACCTCCATCCTCTTCTCTCCCTCCCTTTCTCCCGTCACGTCCACAAACCCACACTGACTTTCCATCTGGTACAAAGGCGTTCTATGCAGCCAGACAGGATGGTCTTCCCCCTCTATGAGTCATCTCCAAAATCTCCCAGGCTGCCGAGTGGGGGTCTGGCGTGGGCAGGGACAGACTAATAGGAGCCTGGCAAAGTCATCAGTTCAAATGGCGGAGTGGACCGCTCGACATGACATACTGACTTGTGGATTACTTCACTGGCTTCATGTCATGGCAGATATAACAACGCCCACGGAATAACTGCCGTCTCATTTTGTCCGGACATACAGATGTAGTAATCATTTGGCTATTATTTTGATTATTGGTTGTATCCATTTAATCATACAGAGTGCAAAAATACTGGAGCCGGTTGAAACAGCAGTTTGTAAGTTTTTTTTAGCTCAGCCTCGTTATAATGTTTTAGGAAGTGGAGATTTATGCATCACTCAATTACCACGAGCTGCACACATACCACAAGGAGAGGAATTGTTACAGTATTTTTACGCCTACAAACTTGCAGCTGTAACTGCTGTATAGCCAGCTAGCTTAACTGACAGAAGCAACATGACAGAGCTAATATATTTACCAAGAGTAAAAAGTAAAGGAGATAATGGTATACGGTCGATACATCTGACCTGACACTTAATAAAACACTGTTATATAATAAAGAGACATTCTTAAATTACATCTTGAAAAAACAAGACAATATACCTCCAATAAGGAACTATTTGGTCGGCACCATTAGACTAAATGAACAAACAACATTGGGTAGGCTGGTTAGTGTATTTCCACAGTCTGATACTGCAAACTCTGACACACATATCTCTTCATGTATGCATATGCATACATATTGCATAAACATTGGGATTGATTGTTAAGTTTATTAATCATTTGGCCTCCTGAAACTGTACGTTTTGGCAGTTACAGTGTTAGAGTCACAAATAGCTGCTGCGACCGACACAACAGGTTTTGTGTATTTTGTTTAGGACACGCATCATCATTTTTATCGTGGTAACCCACAGCAATCTGAAGACTGTGTTTTAATGTAGGACTATTATTGCTCCTCCTAACGTCTACAGACAGACATCACATTCAATCCAATGATCTGTCTGGCTCAGTCTGGAAAGTTGTAAAGATTTGAAGAAAATACTTTGACCTGCTTGGAGCGATGCACTATGATAAGGGTTTTCTTTCATCATAAGCCACGATCTGTTCTCTTTTCTTATTGTGCTGAACATCTGTTCAAGCTACGTGTGTGTACTTACACCACGAGTGGATGCTACTTGAGTATTATTAACTATGTTATCAAGCGACCCCGCCCCAGTGTTTACGTTTGTGTGAGTTCCTATGGACGTATCTATTTACTGTAAGTACCTCTTCGCTGCTGGCCTGGTTCAGGATGAACTTGAAGCCTGCAATGCGCTTCTGGGTGCAGACCACTCCGACATCTTCTGAATGTTTGCAGTCCGACACTCCAAAGCCATTGGAGTGACACTGAGCCAGGCTCTTCTCACCACCAGAGCAGTGCACATTGTCTAACCAGATACGACCTGGAACAGAGGCAGAGGCAAAGATTAAAGCAAAGTTTGTTGGTTTGGTTGACTCCTGCTCTCACAAATCAAACCTGGTGCCACGCTCTTCTCACTAAGCTGCATGTGGCCACAAGCTTCAATCCTCAGTAACCTTCCCTAATAAGGAATTAATTCATGAGAAAGAATAAATGGGTGGTTGTAGCATTGTACCTTGGTAGCTTAGGCCATGTATCACACCCTTCTGACATACATTTCTGCATTTCCTCTGAAGTCCAGTCACACAGACAGTGAACCTACTGACATGGAGATGTGTTGGGTCTTCAAAAATAACCGGATGCATTCTTTTAGCAAAAACCTGCCAAATAAATGTTGTCACTGCAGCAGATCATCTGCTGTCCAGCTGGCTGTTCTGAATCAGCCGTGAGGGAAACCACACAAATGTGGTCATGGAAACCGTCAGTCGGACAGTCTCAACACGTTGCTGAGGAACATCGCGGTCATACCAAGTAAGTGAATGCATGTTGTACGGTCACGTAGCCGTCCTCCTGGCAGAGAGTTGATTACCTCTGGAACATTTTCATAATACCAGCCAAAATCTTCTTGGAGTCTCCGAGTGAGAACCAGCTTGGTCTCAGTACACCAAACAAATCTTCCGCATTACCAGTAGTGGTAAATCTGGATTGCTATGTTAAAACAATCGTTTGCAGGCCTTATGGGGATGTAGTTATACATGCCAATGAAAAGAACAGCGAGCACAGTGCACAGGGGAGCCATGACTTTTCTGATTTGACTTTTATTGGCCCTTACAGCCAGCAACTTACCTCCAGCCACCCTAGACTCAAAATATTAACAAACTGGCAGAGCAGTGTTCCTCTAAATAAAACATCTAAATAAAACACATTTTGTGCATTTGTATTTGATCCTGTTTTGAATTGTAACCTGAAACTGAGTAGCTTTCGCCATTTTCTCATATTTCTTTTTTTACACAAATTATAGCCGTGTAGCTGTGGCAGCTGAGGATCTGATCAACATCCCAAACAAACGTTCTCATCCAAAAGGGATGTCGTTGTACTTGTTATGTAGTTGTGTCTTCAATTAAAAACACTTTGTGGTTTCTCTCCTTGGTGTCATGATGGGAAATGGAAAATGCTCTTGATCACTTTTATAGCCATGTGTCTCCACCAACAACAACAGAAAAAGCACGAATAAAAGCAGTTTACATTCACACACTAGCACACAGCTAGTCTGGGCCTCAAATACTCTCCTTTCAAAATGATTCTATTACAGAGAAAACATCTGCCTGGAAAAGACGAACCCGGCCTGCACAGCCAGTGCAGGCATATACAGTACATCAAACTGCTTCTTGATTGCTGCTTGTAAAATAGTATATGCGTGCAACATTATATTCATGGGGTGTATCACTTCATATATGTTATTATTATAATTGCTTTAATGGTTGTGTTGCTTTTGGAAAGCAAGAAAAAAAAAAAGTGAATTACTTTGCGTTTGAAGTGGCTGGCTGGATGTGGCCCAACCCAGTGGGACAACATGTGCCTTTAACAAGGGACACTGAGTTAATTAACAGCTACCAACTGACATTTACCACCAGCAGCCAGCACACATTCACAGCGTTGGGAACCTCATCACCGTCTTTACAGGGATGGAGGAATTCATACACGTCAAAGTGAGAGAAGATGAGATTACGTCTTCGTGTCTGGTTTACACACCCGGTGTTTCCAGTCCCCCCCCCCTCCCTGCCATGCTCAGAGGTGATTGCCATGTCTCAGTTCTTCTCTAATGGGGAAACCAGTGCCTGAGGATATGAGCAGTCAGACAGGAGGAAACGTGTACCTCATTCAAGGATTTCCATGGAACATATGAAACAGTTTGAAGCGATACACTGCCTTTGAATGTGGTTGACATTCACCTCAGTTCTTAGACAGCTGGATAAAATGATTCTGAGATGCTTTTAGGAGGGTTTTGATTATGTAAGACAATGTTAAGATCAATCCCTGGAAACCAAAAGATGCTTCAAACAAACTCCAGTTTCTTACCTTCTCCTTTTCCGTACTTGGCCGAGGGCAGCCAGGACTCGGCATTCATGAAGCCGAGCTCTCTGCACACCACTTGGGCAGCGGATATGGAGAAGTCGTCATCGCACACTGTCCCCCACTCTCCATTGTAGAAAACCTCCACCCGGCCCTCGTAGTGTTTCCGCTTCTCCCCGGCTAGTCGTAGCTGGATCGCAGGGGGGCTGGAGTCTGACTGGGCGTTGCACAGCGTCCACATACACAGCAAGGTGGAAAACAGACAGTGGATGGCAACCGGGCGCAGCATGATGCAGGACGAGGGAGGAAAGAACAGTGATCTAGGGGAGATAATAAGACAAAAGACGGTAAGCGTCGGTAATAGAAGCGGTACTGAACGATGCTTTTTTTTGATCATTTTCAAATTCCAAAGAGTTAAACTGAGGGCTGTACGTTGCAGAGGCAGACAGTAATGTGTGGTGTGTGGTAGTTTTGTCCATAATTTGAACGAGTGAGCTGTTGCAGTACAAAGTCTTGTGCAGTAACAGTTTATATTGGCCAACATCAGGCACCCAGAGGCCCCTCACAGGCCTCAACACACCACAGTTGTACAATGTTTTAAGTAAACAGTGAAACTACATTTGACTGTCAATAAGAGAGAGAAGAAGGAGATTTTTTGAAAAGTTTGGTTGAGAATAAAGTTAATAAAGGTTATGTTGCTGAGACAAGGATTCCTCTCTTTCTCTCTCTTTCTGACAGCCTAATGGAGAGCAAATGTGGGCTCCTGCAGGGTGGGGTAGTGGCCTGCTCGTTTATATCTGCTGATCTGTGCCTGGAGGCTGCACAACTGAGGTTCAGAGGGAAAGCTGACTCCGCCTTAATATTTCATGGCAAACCATGAAAGTGTCAGCGGAGGGACCAACAGCCCCCGGGGAGGAATTTTCCTGGAGGAAAGGGAGGGAAGGAAGACGGTGAAAGTCAGGAGACCTCCACGTCTTTAGTGTGTTTTAAGAGGAGGAAGAGGGAGGTCCATGTTGCCGTCATAGCAACAGCCAAACAAACACTCCTGAAGTACACGGTCAATAAATTGTGAGACTGCGCGAGAGACGTCACTGTGATCATCCGAAACATCTGGTTTATCTTCTCATGAAAGTTCAGCAGGAGGAAGGAGCTACTTTAATTTAGTCTTTAGACAGGCAGCGTGTCCGTTCTCACAGCACTTAGGAGTGAATGAACCAACGATGTGTGTGCTTTAAATTAGTTCATCAGAGTTCAGAGTTCTGAATAAACATCACTCCAGTCAGCATGTGTCAACTCAACATACCCTTTTATGAAAAACCAACACTGATATGTGTTCTGTATCATACTGCAAGACCAGTGGAGACAGACCCATCTCCTAAGGTTCACAACACTTTCTCAGAAACTTGACTTATAGTGACAGCAGATTGCAAATGGAGAGTTCAACATCGTAGGAAATTTAAAACATGTAGCATTGAAAGACCAGGGCCAAACAATAAGTGAAAGCTGCCTGGAACATTCTAAATCCAACATGCTGCATTTATTTATTGCTTTCTCAGTCAGAGCCAGGCTCTTGAATAGTCTGTTGTTCAATTCAGAACAGCACAAATCAACCATCAAGTGTATGCTAAGCCCTGGCCAGCACAGATCCAAATATTCACAGGAGTGTCAAAAGAAAGACCTCATCCTGAGTCAGAGGAGTCCTGCAGCTACTTCAGGAATTTCGTCCAATGTCAGCACCAGAGTAAGGCATACATTGCAGAGCGACGCTAATTCCTTTTAGATTTGGGTTAATGTTAAGGTATTATGACACGTAGCAGCCCGTGTTCACATTAATCTAACTCTAAGACACTTAAATCAATAACAAACATTGGATGGAAAACAAAACGCAATTAGTGAAAGTTGAAAGGAAACACTTACTTTGATAGACGAAGTAAAAACGGTGCACACTTTCCAAGACGCAGACGTTGAGGTTTCCAACACTTTTGGAGATGATGGGACGTGAACCAGCGGTTCTTTGTCCCTTTAGTACTCTTCCTAGCAGTCTTCTCTGCGCCCCTCACAGCTGGCCGCGCGCTACCGTCCCACTTCTCAACACGCAGAGCAGCCAATGAGAGGCCGTCTCAGCATCCTGGACCCGCCCTCTCTGGCCCAATCACCAGAGTTACAAAAGCACAGTGCATGAGACCTATCATGTAACGTTATGCAAAGTTAAATTTACTGTGAGACTGGCACTCTATCTCTTTTAGTGTTAAATTAAAAAGTTAATACATGATTGACTTCCGTGGAACTTTGGTTATTCATTTATGAATATGTATATGTAATGTACTTTTTACACTTTTCTTTTCCAGCAAACAAGCTCAGTCAAGTCCACTGGATTTCTTCTTATCATGGTAAGGCTGACAGGACATGACAAGGTGTGGCTGATAAAACAAGTCAGGTAGATAGGCAGATATTATGTTCAGTGTTTGAGAATAAAATCAATGATAAAAGAATAATGTTCACATTTTCACAATGGAGAACCAATTTTACCCTGGATCTTGACCTGCTCAGCTGTAGGGGAGCCCCATGATGCAACCAGGCAAGAAATATGAATTATGTATGCCAAACAAAGCTTTCTAGACTAACTAACTGCCAATGTCTAAACCTTTCCGACTGATCTGTCAGAATAAACTCTATTTAGAGTCCCACCAGGAACTGCCCTGCGTCTGTGGTACTGGGGGCATTTAAGCACACCACCATGTGGTGAGAAGGCTCCAACTAATTTGTACAATGTGTAAATGCAATTAAGAACATAAACATTGAAGCCATGTAATAACAGGCAATTCTTAAATTTACAAGGGCTGTCCTCGACCAAAGAAATTCTTAGTCAACTAACACTCATACGATTTTGACAGTTAATTTATTTGTCGATTTAATCGACAGATATGGAAAATCTAGTTTTTTTCACTAAGAGACACACAAAATCACCATTTTAATTATTGTGTTTACTAAAGATGTGCTCATAAGTTTCTTAGAAATAAGTTATTCTGCATAATAAAAATGACTAATCAACAAAATAACTCTTGGTCGACTAGGACCTAAACAAGGGATTAGTTGACTAAACGACTAAAAGGTGGCAGCCATAGAATTTACTGACAAAAGCAACACCAAATATAAAGAAATTAGACTGAACATCATCCAACCTTTCTGCCATCTGAAGCTTTTCTAGGCTTCTACATCTCCTCCATTCAATTGTCATCTTTTTTTAAATTGTTGAGTAAACATCATTAACCTGTTGTGGATTGTTGGTAAAGAATACCAGCAATCCGTCCGTTCTTCTGTTAAACGGATCCACTATATAGTTAACTGTTTCATGCTGGCAGAGGTGCATTTGACCCTATTTGTGACATTTATTCTTATTTTAAATTTGACATCAGAGATGAATATTCAAATGGTTAAATAACAGGCGGGTGCTGGCAAAATCACTGACACGTCACCATTGTGGACCACGCCATATGACCAGAGACTGTTTTGCTCATACGTTTATGACTACATTGTTATAATTGTTCATTTTGGCTGCTGGAGGAAACTGCAGCCTCTTGACTCACAATCAAAATGCCACTAATGACATGTCTGTAAAAAGCAACAGGACATTGGCTGCATGCATAAAAACAGGGATGAAATTTGGTGTCTGGCTTGCCTGTAGGAATGAAAAATGGCCGAGTTTGCTTCCGTTTTGGTTCATCACTGCAGTGATAGTGGCTTCAGGAACAACAAAGACATTATGTGTTTTCGACCTGTTATCTTTTCCGCTTAAATGATTCAGGCAAACGAGTAAATATATTACATTTTAACCATTTATTCAGGAATTCACAAAATATAGCCATTCACATACAATCTGAGTATACTTAATTCTTCAATTTTACAAATATTAAGAACAATATTCTTTTCATAAAGTATAAAATTTACACATATTGTACTGTAACAATGTATTTGCATCGAAAAGCACCCTCAGACTAATGTAACACCACTATAATAGGACACAGAGTCACACTGAAACTCATGTCATTTTACAAGGACTTTTGGCAATTGATTGTGCTGACGTGAAACAAGGCTTCCACAGAAGAACCTGTCCTTTATATCTGAAACACATCCGACCGAAAACGAACTTGTGCGTTCCTTCAAGTTTAATCGGACCAGAAAATGCTGATGCTAGCAATGAGGATATTATTATTATTATTATTATATATTACTGATGAACTCTCTTGTTGCCAAATCATAGACTTTCAACTTTACTGCAAACTCATTATTACTCACTTTTCAGGATGTTTTTGATCATAAAATATCTATACTTTGTATACAGAACACTTTGGCCACAATGTTTCGAAACAACGGCATGGAGGAACATAGCAAACTATATTTTTTTACAAAATAGACTAAATAAAGGCACACCAGTAACATTTGGGCTCCCACAAAATATGAATAGTCCAAAAACATGGCAACAGAATGTTTCTAACTTTCAGACTAACGCAGAACAAGAAAATGGTTTAATATTACAGTATAATAAGAGCAAAGTGTCATCACCGTCAAACCATCAAATGAATAAGAAACAGAATCTAAGATTCTCTTAAGTGCTCTTCATATTTAACAATCGCAGAGATTTATGGTAGGCAAAATGTACATGATGTCAAAACTCTGTGGTTTAACTGCATAACTGAGGACTTCATCACACACTTGTATATGTTACAATGTGAAACACAGACAAACAAACTCAAAGGCAACTTAAGAAATACGATATAAAGTATATATGTAATATTACTTACCTTATAGTTCATTTGCTGATGAAAGAAGATAACCAACAGAACTAAACTGTATCACAAAAGAAATGGCAGCAAGACATTTTTCTATAGGCCAGGAAACGAATACACAAGGGCCAGTTTAGTCACTCAATAGAGAAGACTGTATCATCAATACAGTTAAAGGTATAATATGTAGTCAAATTGCCACTTTCAATTGCCCGACGTTAGTGAGAACCAAGAATAAAACATTATTTTCTGATTGTTTCACGGCAGTTATGTTCTGAGGCACGAATAAACACATGCTCACCTCCTCACAAACCTGTGGGAAGGTGCACGATTTTAAAGGAATTATCCTGCTGTGGCCTGTGAGCCTCGGTGCGCCAAGGGGCGGGACAAAGCGGGTGTGTTTGAACTGGGAATGACAACGGGCCAGAACACCCTGATTATTGGCTGGGGGTCACATCCCCAATGTGGGGTCCAAAAGCTCTTTGCTGACGCCCAGAAGAGCAAAATAAGACGAAAAGAGAAAATACAGGCAGAGGACAGGGTTTCTGTAGGTAAGGACACCACAACACACTTCTAGTGGTTCATAAGTGATGGTGATCAGTTGCATATTATACCTTTAATTACAGTGTAGACACACTGTGTTAAAAGATGTCTGTGCTGTGTGTCCACATCGTCTTTCCCTTAGTTCCAACGTTATTTCCTACAGTATTGTGCTCAACACACTGTATAAAACAGAAATGTAAATTCTTTGTCATAGAACCAATGCACACACAACAGTTAAAGGTGGATGAATCTTTGAATAATAAAACGAGGCTTTAATGTAAATCCTTGGCCAAATATCAATAAATCTCCTTCAAAATTATTAAAATATACCTCACGATAACTCTGTGCTTCTTCAACTGCCATGACACGATTAACACTATGAAAAATGATTGCTCTGGTATCATATTTCAGTCTGAAAAGAGCAACCATCTGTATTTCAAATGTTGTTGCTTTTTCAAAAACATGTACGCAGGGGGAGAGAGAAAGAGCTTGAAGTGTGCTTAAGTGTGATCATGTACAGTATTTACATCAATGTCGCAGTGAGAGTTTGATTTAAAGGCCTCTTATTCTGTTCCCAGTTTGGCGATCAGCTCATCGCATATCTTCGTGAGCTCCTCGATCTCTTGATTCTGTGAGAGACAGAGAGAGGAAGAGTGTTTAGAAGTTGGAGTTAAAGCTGTCAGGACAGAAACATAACAGGACAGGTACAATAAAAGTCTTTAAATATGTACACAGAATGGCTTGCAGAAGACTGGACGTGCACACCTACAACATCCAACTGTACAAAATGGTGAAAAACCTACCTAATATTTGTGTTCAGGGATTGATGATTGGGTTCTGTGTCTTTAAATCCTCTTAATTTTCACCAGTCTGGTTTTAGTATACGAGACACTGCCCCCTAGTGTCTAAAGCGCCAGTGTGTTGGCAGAAGAGCATTTCTAAAATCTGTGCAGAATGCCTGCATGATGAAGTAGCAATTTTGAAAACACGAATTGAACACCATTTATCTGCATCTTTTTTTTTTTTGGACATTGTACAGAGCCACAGGAGTGGGATTTTGCTATAAAATCTATTCGATCTAACTGTACAAAACAGGAGATACTTTTCCAAAGCAAAAACAACAAAAAGTTACTTTTGGTGCAATAAGTAAAGAGCTGATTGGAGGACATTTATCATTTATTTTGTATCAACTCAGAGCCAACACACAAACTAAAAAATGTGTTAGTGAAAGGGTTTTAACCTCAATCATCCAGAGTGTTTTTTTCAGCATACCCTGCCTTCCACTTAAACAGTTTAACACAGCGAACCAATCTTAATCATGTTTGTAAGCATCCTACCTTTTGAAGGACAGCTCTTTCAAGTGAATCCACCTTCATCTGCTCCTTCCTCAGGCTGGCGTTGAGTGCGACACTCTCAGAGTCGGCCTTGGCACGTACCTGTGCTATGTCCTCATTAGCCCTGTTAGAGCGGAAGTGAGGGAGACAAGAGAGATCGTCACAATGAAAGACTGTCATTATTAAAAACCTGCCTGACGATTATATCCAGGAATCAGAAACCGCAGACTTGGAAGCTTACTTGTCCAGTTTCTCCTCAGCGTGCACCTTGAGGGTTTGGTATCGCTGCTCCTCCTGCTTGATCCGCATCAGGTAGTCCTGTGCGCACTTCTTCAGCACCTCCTCATTCTGGAGAGACACATGCGGAGAACGTCTAGTGACCTGGCTCATATGTGGCAGCGGGCTGGAGAGCATCTCATGACATTCATAGCTTTACTGACCTTCTTGAAGCCCTCCAGGACTCCCTTCATGTTCTCATACCTCCTGAAGAGGTCAGCGAAGGAGCGCTCCACAGAGTTGAGGTCGGCTATGGCCTGATCCCTCTCTACGGTCAACTGCCTGACCGACTTACTGCAGGACAGGGACTTCTGCTGCTGCTCGTCCTCTGCAACCAACAGAGGAGTCAAAATACAAGATTTAAAGGGCTACATGTATGCATTACTATAGGCAACAGCTTGACTCAATGTTTACTTCCTGTCAGCTGATGTCATTCACACAACTAGCAACTCTCAGCCTTGTGGGTGCTTGAGCGTCTGAGACTCTTTTTATACATACTACTCTAGTCTCAGACTTTTACGACAGTTTAGCAGAACAGTAAGCCAAAACATACAAACAACAGCTCAAACAGCGGAACATACTTCACTGACCAGGTTAGACACATGGCCTCATGCCCTGCAGTACAGGCCTGACAGAGCATCATGAGGGAAGCTAGCGTCTGCTGGACATTTTGGGCCACAGCCTTTAGGCCGTTGTAGAATATAGAAGATCAGCACTAGATGTAAACACTCTCAACATAAGGCTAAGAGGTGACATTTTGAATCTCATTGTCAAATTTTTATTTCAAATCCTACGCACTGCAACAGACCCAACAAAAGACGATGTCTCACAATGTTGGGGAGCAGTCATACAAACACACACACATTCTGGTGCCATGAAGTGCATGTAGACTTTACCACCACCAGGTGGCATGCAACTTACCAATCATCTGTGCAACTGTTTTCTCATACTCTGCAACTATTTTCCTGTCAAGATAAAAATAGAAAGTGCAACATTTGTCAGCTTTATTTCTCCAAGGTATTGGTATTCATTATCTATATTTATACTGTTTTAAATGTGAAGCAAGGTTCAAGAGAAACAGTGAAGCTCCATACCTCATCTCCAAAACCTCAGTTCTGCTCTCCTCATACTTCCTCTTCCACTCGTTGACCTCAATCTCTTTAGTCATGATCTGATTGGACATGACGAGGTTAAGGTTAAGATCTATAAACTTAGCCATCGTCGGATTCACATCATCAAAGGAGAACCGTTTTTTCTGACAGTGGCATACCTCTTCTCTGATCAGGGTGAGCACTCCTGCCTTATCCATCTCACTCAGAGGCATGTTGTCCTGGGACAGGGCCGCTGTGTCTTGGACCTCACTGCTGGCCATCTTTGTTGTTTGGGTCATACATATCTCACTCTGTGGAACATGCAGAAAAACATACTGTGGGCTCAGTCTAAGATCTGACGAGAACATCCATGATCCTTACAGTTTGTCACTAATCACCTCATATGCTGCTTTAACTTTTCATTGCAGATCACATGATGTCTTTGCAAGGTGCGCTCTGGGAAAACTGTTCACATGTGTTGATTTTACTAATCAAACACTTGTATAACCTGGAGGTGCAAGTGTGGTTATCTTCGAAAAATGTTATGCGAGACTATTAAACTATTAAATTGTTGTAGCAAAATAGCTGTCGGGATATAAGAGAGCAAAAACTTAAAAAGCAGAAAAAAGTATGTCCTACTGGCTAATAGTTTAGTCAGTATTACAATTATTGGCTAAACTATCTTCTTAGTAAATGAGATAAAAAACCGTGGGTGCAAAACAAGCCGGTCATGTTTAAATATTCATACTGCTCCGTCCCTGTGGTTCCTACAGTCTACTTACCATATCATCTTTCAGACAGCAGGTGTCCTTCTCCTCCTTGTCATCTGTAATTTTACTGCCAGAACCTTTGAGGAGAAAAAAACAACACACAATTAAATGAAAAATGACAACTGTTAACTGCACTAATTACCCATCATTTTACGAAAAGATAATCCACACAGTAATCTTTCGGTGCTCCATGTTAAAAACTCACCTGAACGTCGGCAGAATGTGGGCACTATTTGTCTAGCTTTTGTTCGATTCCCTTGTTTCCGTACTGAAAATATGGTGCGATACTTGCACCACAGACAGACTATGGGAAACATTTGTTCCCCAGGGTAACATTTATAACTTTCTTATATCTGGGACAGGGTTTTGCTGAGGTTGCATGCTCCATTTTATTCCTTTATTAAGTTTGACACTTTCTTGGGGCATTGCAGATTCTCCAACAGAGTAACTGAGACAATTATGTAACTGAATCACTCTCCTTGTTCACAGTTTCCATTTCATCCCGTTGGAACTGGCACCTCTAGTTGCAGATGATTGACGGATGGATGTTGTGATGTTGTTGGTTGAAATTGGCCAGTAAAAGCTCACTTCATTATTTGTTTTAAAGGAAGAGATTGAATTTTGAAATAAAAACATGATAAATAGATTTTTTTTCTTCCTAATTTTTGCATATAGTGTTAAATGGGGACACAATAAGACCGCGGATGTGATTTCAAAGTTTGAAAAAAAGCACAGAAATCTCAAATTTAACAACATGCTTACACTGACCTTTCATATTGCATGTCCTATAAAATACTACCATCATTAATACATCACAATTTAGAAGGTCAAATGGAACAAATGAGACCAGATTCAGGACTATCGATAGAATTATTAAGTCTACTTGTGCTGTTTGTTTCACAGAATAAAAACGAGCATGGCTTTGTGAAGGTGAGTTGGTCCTTCCACTAAAGCTGACTTAAAGGGAAAGTTGAGGGTTTGAAGATCTAAACATACCATCCATAAAATAAATATCATCGATTGGATGTTTCTTCGCAGGTTCTTTTTGGCATTCAGGCTCTCCTCTCTCCTCCTGGCTGTCTGTTGTCTGGCTCTTAATGCCAGTGGAGGCAAGCTTCTCCTCATCAGTGGCGTGATGAACCCGCTGAGTGATCTCTGGGGTGTGAGCCACCACCTCATCCTCCTCCTGAAAAGGAGGGAGGAAGAAAGGATCCACATTATAATGGGATTCATGATTAGATTCACTTAGATATCAAATATTAAAGACAACTCAATATAAATATACTATTAAACTCCTTACAGGAAAAAAAACATTCAGTTTTAAGCAGCATTAACAAAAACTTTTCCTATATGGGAAAGTGTGTACTGTTGTGAATTGAAACTCTTAATGAACAAATGTAGATACAGTACATTACTGTCGACATACACAAGTATAATTTATTACAATCCCAAAGATCCAATATAACTCCATTTCATGAATATATTCAAGATGCAATATCCTGAGGAAGTTACATTATGTAAGGTAATATTGGTGGACTGGGCCTTGACAAACTGCGTTATTATACATTTTCTTAGAGACTCTGGCATTACACAATATCGTTAAGGATATCTCCTAAGCATGGAGGAGGTGATAATATTGAGGGCAAATAGTAGCAGCAGACTTATACTTGACTGCAGAGTTATAAGTCACATATCTGTCGCCATGCCAAACCAGCACTGCAGAGCTGGTGCCACTGCTGATGCTCCTGTGTGTGTGTGCGTGTGTGTGTAACGAGATGAGGCCAAAAGGTTAGACAGCTGCTGAATAATGGACATTGCAGTGTCACTGCAGTAAGGTGAAACATTTCAGCTGACAAAACACACATTACCTGATTGCACACGTCAAGCACCAAGGCCTGGCTCTCATCATATTTCTGAACTTTACAGGAATTCCTACAAAACAAGCACAAAGCAACAACACAAGGGTCAGAATATATAGATCTAAAATCAGCGAACCTTAAAAACGTCTTCTTCCTCCTGTTTCTACAACCACAGAGCTGCAAGTATTTCTGTGCCTTTTGAGCTAATTTCATAGCCCCATAACAAGTGAGGTACAGCTACATACATAACTAGCATAACCCTTCTAGTGTTGCCCAACTTCTGGAGGGATCCCAAAACAGGACAAATTAACTTGATGTATATGGCCTTGAAAGTTAAGGATAAACCAATGATTTTTTCTGACAAAGCAGATGCCACGTTGAGAGTAAAATGGGAAGCAAGCATGCACGAAAGAAAGAGAGCGTTGATAGTGAGAGTACTTACAACAGAAAACAGAGAAACTTGACTTGTTCAGATGTCCTGGGGCTAGTAGTAGTAGTAGTAGTAGGCGAAAGCAGCGGTTGGGGGTTGCGTAACAGACAAGAGGAAGTAGGATGAAGAATGAGGGGGATATTGATTAATGGAACGTAAAACAGATCAGGAGGAAGAGATAAAAGAGAGTTTGTGAGTGACTGAAGGCGTTCAGTGTTAATTGAAAATTTGAGCATCAACAGAAGCTGCCGACAGACCTGGAAAAGCTGAAATTAGTCCAAACTACTGCAGCTATAAGTACTTCTAAGAGCTTATATATAACCTGTTTGGGATTTACATCAATGGCCAGTATGAAGTGTTAAGTGTGTCCAGCCAAAGAAGAGGAAGCTCAGTGGAGTGAATCTAAACCTAAAATGTCATATAAACTGAATAAAATGAAATCTGAATGTTAATATTGGTGATAATGTTACGATCTCAAAACTCCTGGGGCAAGAAAGAAAGTTTTCATTTTGCCGTAGACTTACGTGATTGTCTTCTCTTTGTTTTTCTTGGGAATCGGCCTCACTTTTTTCTCCCGCGCCGGTTGCACTGCATTCTGTTTGCCTTCGTCTTTCACTTTCTTCTCCGGCTGAGGGGCGCTACTGGACGAGTCCTCAGTGCTCATGGGTTTTGAGGGTTTGAAAGGGTCCACAGAGTCATCAAAATTGTCTGGATCAAAACTGTAGGAGCTCTTCGGGAGCACAGGAGTGCCGCTCAACGCACTATTGCTTCCAAACGGATTGAAGTTCGGGTCGTCCCACTGATTTGGATCAAAGTTATATGTTCCTGACTTAGGAATAGGAATATCATCAAGGTTCAGAGGTGCGGTAGAGTCTGAAACCGGCAAAGGAGTTTCTGGAAGAGGATCCGAAACTGGTTCTGATGCTGGTTGAGAAACTGGTTCTGACGCTGGTTGAGAAAATGGTTCTGATGCTGGTTGAGAAAATGGTTCTGACACTGGTTGAGACACTGGTTCTGAGATTGTGGGTTCGGGTGCAGGTTTGCAGGGAGTCTCAGATCTTTTGACCTTCTGCCTCTTAGCTGCGAGTTTGCCGTTTGACTTTTTACCACCTAATTTCCTCGGAGGCGGCTTGCTGACCGTCCCCTCGTCCAGACCGAACTCAAGCATCACAGGCTTGGCCTCCGACGATGACTCCCTCATCTCTGGTTCTGCTGGAGCTACTGAGCTGGCCTCACACACAGGCAAGGAGCTACCGAGTGGCTCGAGACTGGGGAGCGAGCTTGAACCGAACGGTGGGGGAGAGTTCTGGATTTTGGATCCGCCGCACTGAAAGGGGTTGAAGCTGTCATCCAGCTGGTCAGGGTCAAATTTATAAGTGGCCTTGGGAATAGGAAGTTCTTCTTCCTCATTTGTTTGGGCAAGATCATTCAGTGAGGCCTTTACTGTCAGGGGTGGAGGCTTGGACTTGCTGGTTTTAGTCTTTTGAGTAGGCTCTGTCTGATCCAGGCCATTGCACTGTGGTTCTGATTCAGCAAGAGGTTTCTGCTCAGGGGGCTCTGGAGCTGGACTGACTGCAGGTTCACTGCTAAGGGCCGAGTCTGGTTCTGGGGCTACAGCAGGAGCTGGAGCTATAGTAGGAGCTGGAGTTGGAGCTGGAGCAGGAGCTGGAGCAGGAGCTGGAGCAGGAGCAGGAGCAAAAGCAGGAGCTGGAGTAGGAGCAAAAGCAGGAGCTGGAGCTATAGTAGGAGCTGGAGTTGGAGCTGGAGCAGGAGCTGGAGCTATAGTAGGAGCTGGAGTTGGAGCTGGAGTAGGAGCTGGAGTTGGAGCAAAAGCAGGAGCTGGAGTAGGAGTTGGAGCTGGAGCTATAGCTGGAGCTGGAGCTTGACCAAGAGCTGGAGCAGGAGCTGGAGTAAGAGCTGGAGCTGGAGCTGCGAGTTTGCTGATTGACTTTTTACCACCTAATTTCCTCGGAGGTGGCTTGCTGACTGTCCCCTCATCCAGACCGAACTCAAGCATCACAGGCTTGGCCTCTGACGATGACTCCCTCATCTCTGGTTCTGCTGGAGCAGGAGGTGGAGTAGGAGCTGGAACTTGAGCAGAAGCAGAAGCAGGAGCAGGAGCTGGAGCAGGAGCTGGAGCAGGAGCTGGAGTAGGAGCTGCGAGTTTGCTGATTGACTTTTTACCACTTAATTTCCTTGGAGGTGGCTTGCTGACTGTCCCCTCATCCAGACCGAACTCAAGCATCACAGGCTTGGCCTCTGACAATGACTCCACCATCTCTGGTTCTGCTGGAGCAGGAGGTGGAGTAGGAGCTGGAGCTTGAGCCACATCCGGGACAGGATCTGCAACTAGGACGGGGACTGGGGCTTGGGATGGCTCTGTGGATGGCGCTGTGCATTTAGCGACTTCAGCAATTTCCTTCACTGAGGATGGAGCAGGGACAGACACAGAGCCCAGGACTTCTGAAAGATTCTCTGTTTGTTCTGCTTCTAGGGTCTGGATGTTTACTTCCAGTGGTGCACCCATGGGGACTGCAGGCTCATCTTGACCCATGTTGTGGCTGAGCAAAATATCCTGATCCCAAACCGGAGCAGTCACTATCAGCTGCTCCTCCTGATCCACATCTGAAGAAGAATTGTGGGGGGAAAAAAAACACCAGAATTAACCAAAACCAATTCATAATGCAAAAAAATAAAACAACATGCACACTTCATCCCTTTGACAATCTCTCCAATCAAATCCAAACTCAGATGTAGGTGACATCTGATTGGTTCCTATTGCTGCTGTTGCCATGGCAATGTCTTACCATGAGGGCCACGACATTTAAATGATTGATTTTGCGTTGTGTTTAAGACTAAAGGGGCAGCGGCCGCTGTGGAGTATGTACTGCCTCTATGGGAAGCTTTTGACACTTCAACATATTTCAGTATGCCTGTCATACTCGCCATCATGTAATATTATGTTGCTAGGAGACAAGCACAGCCTGCTGTGTTCCTACCTACTTCCACACGCATTAGCATGTTGCCAGAGTGTCATTTTCAAAGTATTCCTGCAGTCCAACATGCCCATACAAACACGTCCTCATCCAGGTCCACATACATATTCAATAGAAAAGTATGACTCCTTTTTGTTCTCTCACTCTTGTGTTTATAAATGCAGAATGTGTCACAGCATGCCTGTTTGCAATAATATGCAAAACATGGGGTCAAATTGAATGAATGGAATTAGTTATTTTGCATTTGTTTACAATTTTGTTGTGATATACTTTGATTTTAATGGCTGTAAAAAGTGCACCTGTGCACAGTAGTTGTTTCCAGTCGAACACACATCTATATCATATAAATGATTATCTCTGAACTCAAAGCATTTTTTCCAATGTTATTAAAACTAAAACAATGCAACATAGTATATAGTTATAACAAATGGTATTGATCATTAATTATTCATGTGTTAACTCAAGGTGATCATGCATTTCACCACACATGTATACATCCATTCAGGAGACATACAAAGTAATCCTCAAGTGTCAATCAGTTAATGTAATCAATTTAACGTTAAGTGCCTTTTTACCTATCTGTTCCAGCATATATAGACTGATGCTGATATAGCAATGGAGACGTCAGTATGTTTACATTCAAAGAAGTTTCTAGAGGCACTTCCACTCCTGCCTGCCAGGATTCAAACTTCCTCATTTACAGCTGCAGGACGGGATGTTTGTGGTTGAAACAAAAAGGAACTCCCTCCTCGCTCCATACTGGTTGACCTTCACAATGTACACTTTTGGAAAAATGTTGTCGGAGCTGCTTTAAAGGAAGGATTTATTGCTACCGAAATGAGAATTGCACGGTCTTCTACAAACCTCTTTGAAAAGCGACCTACATGATGGTTTCATCCTGATAACAAGCTTTGTTCTGTCCCTCCCCTCATTGTGACCTCGATCAGTTACCGATACAAAACGGGGCAAACCAAATCCTTTTGTTGAACCTGTTGAATACCAGAGCAAGGGTCATTCCCACACTCTGCTATAGGCTCCTCCTCTCAGTGACAGTCCTTCTGCCATAATCACACCCAAAAACTCAGTGTGCATGCCACCTTACATACCGAGCATGCAGAACATGTTTCACTACTTGGGCATTAGTAACCTTATGTACCTGTAATAAAAACATTGCAACTAAACACATTTATATGATCCATGAAAAAACTTGAGAACTTGAGATAGTGCTTCAATTTAATTTTAAATTTGTACAATTTAAAGCTAAAATGTTGTAGGTAGGTAAATTCCTAAAAATATCAGACTGCATCCAACGACTCGAGGAGGGACACCGCCTTTAATGTGTGCTTGAAACGACATTTCTTCTGATCTGTTAGGTATTTGTAACGTTAATGAGAACCTTCAGCTTCACCGCGGTGTTGTGACTGCAGTGTGTTTACGTCTCAAACAGTTCTCTCTCTCTCTCTCTCTCTCTCTCTCTCTCTCTCTCTCTCTCTCTCTCTCTCTA